GATAGGAGGGAAAAGCAGCAGCAGCTCAGTTCCAGTGAGGATGTGGTGAGCAGCTCGGTGACGAGTTAACATGAGGTGCCTGTGGCTGGAGAAGCTCAGCAGGAGCAGACAGAAGTGGGGCAAGAGCAGTAGCTGGGAGAAAGGGCTGGTTGCGGCTGCTCCACCTGCCCACGCTGCTGCGGGAAAGGTCAGGCAGAATGTGAGCTGGGCATTAAATTAAGCCTGTAAAGAGACACTCGGGGAACTTAAGATGGATTAACTTAAGGTGTAAAGTTTAAAGCGTATTATTATGAAGGAGGATTAAGCTAAACTTGAGCTAATGACACCACTTTTGAATGCGTATCCGCACAGCGGATTCAGAGCTTTGGCTCCACGCCTTTTATTAGTTAAATGTACTTACCTTCTTAAATGTCCCCATAAAGATACATGCCCTTATATTCCAGATCTTCACATTCTCCATTTTACATGTTGAGAAGTTCGTGTGTTTAGGTGCTGTGTCAGAGGTGGAACTGGATTTGGTTGGTTGGAGTTCAATTTTTTTTTTTTTTTTTCATTTAAAAAAAGAAAAAAAAGGTGGGAGTGGGAGGCAACACAGAAGTTTGTTTTAATTTTCCCGATGGTGTTAATGGCATTTGTGATGACTTGATGGTATGTATTCTTAGATGAGGCATTTGGTAAGGAAGAAATAACTTTCTTCATGTTATGTTGACATGCCCTAATTTCTGTGTGTCCCATCTCTTTTAATACATGAACTATTTCTATTGCCTTTATTCTGTTGTTACTTTCACGGTATTGGGATATATGCAATGTCAGCATCTGTATTTTCCAAAAGCTCTGTAGCCTCGTATTTTACACTGTGTGGGTTAAAAAGCAAATGTAAAATTGAATACTGTAAATTCTTCCACAAAATGTTTATCTTACATTCACCAGTTATGGATTAACTAACATAATTTGTAGTTAGCAATAGTTTGTAAATAAGTATTAAATCAACTGAATTGATTTTTGAGGAGGGAAACTAATTTAAAATTACAGGTTTGCTGTATGCTAAATAAACCACTTAGTAACAAGTTCTGTGTAGAATTTTATCACGCTACAAGCAACAGCATCAGGTTTTCGTTGAGGGTAAACAAGAGGTCAATATTTATTAGATAAAAGATCGAAGGTAGACTAAAAAAAAAAAAAAACACCCACCCGACTTTTACAAAAATTCTTCTATTTAGGCAATGATATAAAAGCAAAACAAATACGAAGAAAAATGTAAGGGAGAAAAAATTTCACAAAGTGCACTGTATTATTAAAAAAAAAAAAAAAAAAGTTTTGAGTCAGGATACTTTCAGGTTAGCCATCACAGAGAGTGTTTTGCCACACTGTTTAGTGAAAGCATAAGAAACCTGAGACAAAACCTCAAAATGTTTTGTTTTGTTTACTGTGTGGCTTGTGGTATCGGATGAAAGGTCTGGCATTTCTCGTGCCTGTGGAGGTCAGATGCAGGCAGGGGGATGGTGGCAGCTGCAGAAACTAACTGTGGTGTCCTGCAAAAGGAATAACGGATATAATCACCTGTTCTTATTTTGAATCCTGCCAGTCTTTGGCAGTCTGAGATACACCTTAAAATGTATTTTTGTAAAATACAAATGTTTCTTATTATTTTTAATCTTATTATTATGTATCATTTGCCTTTCAAATTCAGTATGTATCCCTCTGAGCCTCCTGGGAGAGGTCAGCTAGGAGCCACCATGTCCTAGACACAGATTTAATAATTTTGGGAAGAGGTAGGGAGCAGGAGCAGTGGGAGGGAGATCACTCTCTGGGTCTTTTTCGCTATCTGTCTCTGGGTCAGCTCAGGGGTGGCTGCAGCCATTTGGTCTCTGGACAGTAACAACCTGTCAGGCAAGAGAACTTCGGGCTGGTTTCAGAATCACAGAATCATCTGGGTTGGAAAAGCCCTTGATCCTCCAGCCCAACCATGACCCTCCCCCTGACCGTTCCCAACTCCCCCAGATCCCTCAGCGCTGGGTCACCCCGACTCTTCAACCCCTCCAGGGATCCCGGGGACTCCCCCCTGCCCTGGGCAGCCCATTCCAACGCCCAACAGCCCCTTCTGCACAGAAATCCTTCCTCAGAGCCAGCCTGACCCTGCCCTGGGCAGCTTGAGGCCATTCCCTCGGGGCCTGGCGCTGGCTCCTTGGCTCCAGAGACTCATCCCCCCTCTCTGCACCCTCCTGGCAGGGAGTTGCAGAGGGCCATGAGGTCTCCCCTCAGCCTCCTCTTCTCCAGACTGAACCCCCCCAGTTCCCTCAGCCGTTCCCCAGCAGACCTGTGCTCCAGACCCTGCCCCAGCTCCTTGTCCTTCTCTGGCCACGCTCAAGTCACTCAATGGCCTTTTTGGGGTGAGGGGCCCAAAACTGAATCCCCTCACCGAGGGGCAGCCTCAGCAGTGCCCAGCACAGGGCTCAGATCCCTTCCCTGTCCCTGCTGGTCACGCCAGTGCTGACACAAGCCAGGATGCCATTGGCCTCCTTGGCCCCCTGGGCACACTGCTGGCTCATTATCAATCCCCCCAGTCCTTCTCTGACTGGCAGCTCTCCAGCCAGTAGCGCTGCTGGGTGTTTAGGGAGATGTGTGCGCAAAGGGGGGTCGGCTGAGTCTTGCAATGGCCAAACATGAAGGACCCCCCTTTCCTGACTAAGGGCATGTCCAGACACCGGAGAGATCCGAGTGCTGCCGTGCTGGGTTGGCCGCGAGCCTTGTGCAGTGGCCACCAGCCTCGGGCAGACCTGGGCCTGGAGCAGGACCCCCAGCACAGCAGCTTCAGGAATGCCAGTTTGTGTGCATCTGACATCTAATTCTGCAAATCCTCTTCTGTTTCACCCAGTCCCCATTGCTCAGGGTCACTCTGTGTGTATTCATAGCACGTGGCCAGCATGAAGTGTGCAAGTGGCATCTGTGCATCCATCAGCAGAGTCTGCTCTTCTCAAACAGTGTTTCAGTCACTGTCCAAAACATTCAAAGACTGTTTTCTGCTATTCATTTTCTTCCCTGCAGTCCATGATGCATCATAAAAATAAATAAACGTGGCATTACTACTACTATTAAATATAAAAAAAAAAAAAAAAAAGCAGCTGGAAGTTCTTAGTCTCCAGAAGAAGGTGGAGCGGGGGAAGAGCACAGAGCCCATATAACAATGGGAGTCTGCTTTATTAGTATTAAGGAGGAAAATAAAATCTGCTCTGGCAGTAGTGAAATAAAACACCAGGAAGATTACATCAGTCTTTGTTTGCACACAGTATGATTCTTCTCTTTCACCAGCCAATTTGTATATTGGAAAAGGCAGTTGCTTGGTTAAAATAATTAGCTGAACTCCATCCAATTCCCCAATTATGTGAAAAAAAGTTTGAAGAAATATAGACAATTGTTGTTGAGCAGTTAGAGAAAAAAAAAAAAAGTAGTGGTCACCAAACAATTATAGCGCCTTGTCTAAATACTCATATATATATCATAGTTTCAAAATGAGACAGGCAGTTCTCAGTGACTCTTTTCTGTATCTGTTGTGGTTTTGGATAGCAGCTTTAGAAGTATAGCAAGATCATAACTAATTCTGTCCTAAACTTGTGCAGGATAGATTAGCCTGGGGTTGCCTCGGAGAAGAGAGGTACGGTCTGAAGCTACGTGTATCAGAGTAAGTTTAAAGGGGAAAAAAAGAAGAAAGAAAAAAAGGAGTAATCTGGATGTATCCTTATTATTTTGCAATTTAACAGGCAAAGATTTGTATTAATGAATGAGATAGTCTTCTTATACTCCTTTATTCCAGACTATTTTAGATTATTATTTTGGGGAAAAACATAATTTTTTGAATATTTCAGTGTTTGAATAAGAGATCACTGCAACAGTTTGCCAAAGAAGTCCCCATAAGAGGTCCAGTGTAGGATATTAACAAGAACTTCAGTGACTGGGAAATCTTTTCTTCTTCTTGCTCCTACACTTTCATCCTTGGAGGTCAACCTCTTGCATTTTCTGGAAAAGCCGTAATCAGAGATTTTGCAGTGGAGGTCACTTGGGAAGGATGTGTAAGCGCTGCTGGCTGAGGCAGTTGTCATCCCAATTCCTCAGCAGGCGTAAAGGCAGTGACACGAAGTCACGTGGTTTGGGTTGTTTTTGTTAAAACACTTCCCCATTTTCCAGACCTGCCAGGTGTATTTTTATGGGATTGTGTCATTCAGGATGAGAAGAGTCAAGCTGTCACAGTGGGAATCCCTGATCCCAGAGCCCTGCCAGCTTGTGGACCTGACGGAGCCCTTGGCCATGGGTTTTACTGTTGTCCGTGGCCATCCTTTCCCCCAGATCATCTCTGCACTGGACATTTCTGAAACCTGTTTCCACCTGTACATCAGCTGATGGGGGATGTACCATTTAAAAACGTGCATGCAGTGGGGGTAGGTTCCCCTCTTGCACCAGTTCTGACCCCTTCAGCAGGCTCGTTTCCATCAGACAGGGCAGAGCTGAGCAAACGCTGACAATTCAAACACATTTGAAAACACTTGTGCCAGTTCATTAACACAGTGTATAAAATTCAAATTACATTTCTTTCTGGTTTTTTGTTGGTGTTTTTTTTATTTTTAAGGGAGGGTTGGATGTTAATGCTGTCTGTGGTCTGCTGGGTAATGAAGTGAACTCAGCCATCCGTTGTGGATGGCACAGGAGTTGAGCAGGGTGATGCCCGGGTTCCCAAAAGCTCACAAGCAGTGGGTTTTTTCTGTCAGCCCGGGAGCATGGGGACCCGGCAGCCCTCCAGGGCTGGCAGGGCTCCAGCTTCGTCTCCGTCATCCCCAGCTCCCTCACCTAACCTGAACTTTGCAGCTGCGGTGTGTCTTACTGACCTCTGCACGATCAGTGCTTGGTTTTCAGGTCACACCTCTCTTTCCTCAGGCGTGGGCTACCCCAGGCACATTTTGTGCTCTCCCGTATTTATCCTCTGGATTTTGTTTTTTTTCTCTTTGCAGGGAACGGATGCGCCAGTCCGCTATGTTTGAACTGTGCCAGGGGATGCACCAGATCAGTCTGCAGTTTGTTCGCTTGCAGCTTAGCTTTGAGGAGTACACTATAATGAAAGTTTTGCTGCTGTTAAGCACAGGTAAGTTAGATTCATGGTTACATGGGGAATACTTGAAAATATTCCAATTCACAAATTTTAACCAACATAACGAAAGAGCCAGGCTGTTTCCAGCAGGGCCACAGGAATAAGCCTGATTTTATGTCTTAGGTTTATCTGCAGATCTCGCTCTCTGTTAGCATGGGAAGTGTCTTTGCAGTTTGAATGTGTCGCATGCGTTGGAAGGACAGGAGTGGCCAGGCAAGGGGCTTTGCCCCACCTCTGTCTGGGAACTGCTTGAATCACCAAGACGTGCTGAGAAGTGCAGCAGCTGTGGGGATTGGGGAGAAATCCTCACTCAACCCTCTAAGCCATCAGCTTCAAGATCAAAAGATGTGCATTGCCTGTGCTGCAAAATGGGTGATTTTCCAATGCCAAGTGAATTAAGAATTGTAAGCCCTTTTTACAGGGCTCTGAAACTTTAAAAAATGACAGTGCATGCTTTATTTTTCTCTCGAGTGTCATGCTTTGACTTTTCTTAAGATACAAAATTACATCTTGGTGTGTGCTACAGCACTGTGTAGTAATTAGCAGATCCCTTGATCTTATCTGACTGAAAATATTGAAAACCTCCCATCTGAGCACAATTGTATAAATGCAGAGGCAGTTTGTTCATTACTTTTCCATCAGTCTTGTTGAAAAAGCCAATTAGCTGTAAACAAACCTTTCTTCTGTATAATCATGCTCCTTTTTGTGGGATCCACTCAGTGACATCACGGTGAGACAGCGCATCAGCTCGATTGGTGGGCGTTCGTGATGTCACTTCACTGAGCTCACCGGGCAAGAATTTCCCCAGCAGAAGGAGGCTGGATGTTGGGGGCATTGCGTGGGGAGAGGAGGAGTGGGAGATCAAAGGGGCGGCTGCGCTTATTTTGGCTCTGGCTCGCGAGCTGTTGGCAGCAGGACGCACGCCTGAGGCGGCCGGAGGCTGTCTGGGCTCGTGCTGCACGGAGCATCTCCCCGTCGGGTGGCGAGCAGAGCCCATCGCGCCCTTGGAGATCTTGCTGTCTTCTCTCAGTTTCCTGGGGCAGAAGATGGGGTGATGGGAGAAGAAACGAGCAACAGCCATTAGTTGTGCGGCACTGGAAGAGGCGCTTATCGCCAAAACAACTAATGGGCAACGGACACGGCAGCAGATTGAGGCACCCAGGAGCCTCCCAAACCCCTAGCCACGTCACGGGCACCTTGGCTGCAGGCAGAGTTAGGTGTCTACAAAGGGATTTAGAGCAAAGCCGAGTGGCAGCTCCTTCAGGCAAGGTGATGGGACGGGCACTTTCTCCCTGTCTGCGGTGCCTTTCGTTGAGGCCTTGCCCATCCCACCCAGCCGGTAGCTCTGTGGTTAAAGTGCTTGCCTTTGAAGGACGCCAAGCTGCAGTTCCCATCCCGGCTGGAGGGGATTTGGATCCACTAACAGAAACCTCCTAGGGCTGTAAGTTTTTGGGGTATGGCTGTCTCCCTCCTTCCCTCCTATTGAAGCCGTTCCAGCTGCCTGAGGTCAGGAGAGATGATGCACAGAGCTGAGGGATCTGGTGGAGCTGGGAACGGTCATAGTGAGGTTGATGGCTGGACTGGAGGAGCTTCAAGGGCTTTCCCAATCCAGGTGGTTCTGTGATTCTGCTGGCTGGGGAGCACCATGTGTCCTGGCCCACAGGGGCTGACCCCCAGGTCCCACTCCACTGAGTTTTTGAGGTCTGCTGGTGAAACTGGGACTGTGGGGAGCCAATATACTCCAGGATAGCTCTGGAGAGTAAATGGGCTTTTTTGAAGTTGGCCACTCGCCATCTTTCCAGAAGCAAGTAGTGGTGCTTAAAGTAGATGTGCTTGAGGGGGTCTAGCTCCCAATATGTTCGTGAGGAGACCTCCTGGCCCTCTGCAACTTCCTGCCAGGAGGGGGCAGAGAGGGGGGATGAGTCTCTGGAGCCAAGGAGCCAGCGCCAGGCCCAGAGGGAATGGCCTCAAGCTGCCCAGGGCAGGGTCAGGCTGGCTCTGAGGAAGGATTTCTTTGCAGAAGGGGCTGTTGGGCGTTGGAATGGACTGCTCAGGGCAGGGGGGGAGTCCCCGGGATCCCTGGAGGGGTTGAAGAGTCAGGCTGACCCAGCGCTGAGGGATCTGGGGGAGTTGGGAACGGTCAGGGGGAGGGTCATGGTTGGGCTGGAGGAGATTCAAGGGCTTTTCCAGCCCAGAGGATTCTGTGGTTCTGAAAAGTGTCTGGATTGGAGATCTGGCTTTGCTACTTTTTAATCAGCCCTAAAGGGGGAGAATCTTTAGAAAAAGAGCCTAAAGGCATTTTAAAAGTAGCAAAAATTCGTTAAGCTAGGTATTTATTATTCTGCTCTCTTGAGAGTGTTAACTAATGACTTGAGTTATTGTGAGAATCTAGTAGGCGAGATCAGCCCGGCCAATTAACTTCGGCTAGCTGGGGCCCTTTGAAACACACGCCACAGTCACTAGAAAACCTACTAAATATAGTTTGTTTTGGGAGAATCAGGATATTTCTGTCAGAGAGAGAGGAGAGCGAAATGGAAATGAAGACAGTGATAAACCTCAGGAAGTGTCATGTGAAGGGCAGCAAACCTAGTTTCGAATGACTGCACCTTGATACAACCTTATGACAGAAAAGGTTTGTTTTCATTTAAAATTTTTTATTGAATCGTGTGATAAGCAGAGTACAAGCTATTCTGAAACTTTCGAGATGACCACATCAAGGAAGTTTCACTCCATTTACATGTGGAAGAAACCACACATTACAACTCAATTGTTTTCTTGCTTTCCACAGACCATAGATTTTGGGAGCTTGCCAAAAGCATTGCTGCATTTAATAAGTAAAATAAGAAACACTGGGCAAACCTCCAGAATTTCATGTTTTGCTTGATTTCTCTTTATTTGTGGTTTTTCTTTCTTAATAATCCGACTGGGGTGACAGTATAATAATTTTCAGACAGAACAGTAAAATATATAGTAGTAGAAAAGCAAGAGTGGCTCTAACAGTCTTTAAGCAGCATGTAGGAATACAGGCCTGTAAATTTTAACAGAACTGTAAAGCCCGTGCATTTTCTGTAAGGACCACAGTATGCTCTGAGGGCTTTACTCATCTTGATTGATGTCTCTGTATTCATTCAGCTTGAACTGAATTTGCACATCTGTTCCAGACAGTTTCTTCTGTCAGCTGACTGACTGAGAGATTTGGCATCTAGAATTTAAAAATGGAATTATATGTTCATATAACATAAATACCTAATAATGTTAACCGGGTGGTAGGCAGGTTGGTGTGTTATCTCCTAGGCTTTTTCTAAAGATTCCTCCTGTGCCCCCTTCCAGCACTTGATGGTTTGCAAGTCCTTGCTGCTCATGTGGTGGTAGAGCTCCTCCTTGTTTTCCATTGCTAAATTGCTCTGGTAGATACTGATGATAGAAGATACTGGTGGTTTTTCTTAAAGCTTCTATTTTGGAGCTGTTTGGGCAGTTGTTCCATGCTTACGATGTGGCGGCAGTGGGATAGAAGGCAGTTCACTCACAGGGGTTCAAAGAAAAGGGAACAGGTAAACAAGACAATTTCTCTCAAGATGTTAAGTCGGGGTAAGCTAAATTGGAAGATCACCTTTTTTTTTTTTTATTCCTTTTTTAATAAGTAACTTCTTATTTAGCTTGCTCTGACAGAGCTTTCTGGCTTGCTTAGAAAATAAACCCACTCCTGTAGAGTGTAGTATTTTATTTTCCTTCTGTGGACTAGCATTAAGAGATGCCAAGTAGAAAAATATGTGATGGTTAAGCAGTATTTAACCAGTCCAGGTATTGAAACAACGGAACATTTTGAGTAATGTTGTTAATAACCTCTTTGGGGTTTTCCTAGAGATCTGATCCTATAAGACATTCCTGTTTGGGGCAGAACCTGCTGGAGTGCAAGGGTGTTTGCAGTCTCTAAAGAACAGATTATTTGCTGTTGTAATTAGCCTTACTGATACCAGCCACAGTAAAAACCATCAGAAAACTCTACTTTTAGCCCATGTGTGAATTGATCCCTCTGGCAGATGGGAACTTTGATAGGACATAAGAAATGCCTGCAACTGTACGTCGTGGTCAAACACTGGGTCAGGATACCTGTTTGGAAAATAAGTCTTCTGTTTCATGCAGAATAATGGCTGCTTGTTCCAGGGGTTATGCAGGTGCTTACTAACATTCAAAGAAATATTAGATGTTACCTGATGGCAGAAAAACGTGTCATTTGGTCTGGCATTTCTGCACATAACAGCTGTAATTCTGTACCTTCCCCTCCTCTGCCAAGTGTGGGGAATCACGCAAGAATGATAAATCACGTTTTCAACTTCTAAAAAAGTATCCTTGATCCGTCTGCTTTTGTGTGTGTGTGTGTGTGTGCGCGCGCGTGTGGTTGGGTTGTATTAAAACCAGTTTCAGCATGAGGTTAGCATGTGTCATGTTTCTGAGATGTTATCTTATCCCCTGCCACAGCTTCTGCAATCGCAGATCTAGAGAGAATGATTGAATCACTTGAAAATCTGTGTGATGTTGTTGATTCCTTACCAATGTCTGTAAAACTAGGGACTTTGCTTAAAGGTTTAATTATTTCATCCATTAACTAGTGTAACTTTTTAAGTATGCACATAAGAAGAATAAGCAATAACAGTTAATATTAATATAAGACTGTCTTTTCAATGACAGTTCCCAAGGATGGTCTCAAAAGCCAAGCTGCATTTGAAGAAATGAGGGCAAATTACATTAAAGAACTAAAGAAGATGGTAACTAAATGTCCAAGTAACTCTGGGCAAAGCTGGCAGAGATTCTACCAACTGACTAAACTTCTTGACTCCATGCATGATGTAAGTATAACTCCTCAGGGAGTGCAGACAAGTTAAGCAAAAATCTCTCCATTAAGGTAAACCAGTAGTTTTGAACTGTATTAATTACAGGGAGGAAAAAAAAAAATTCTTTTTGAAGGAACATCTGAGAGAAGATGTTAGATGAATTTAGGGACAACTACCAAGTAAAATAAGAAAATACGAGTCTTTAAGGGCTGGGTCCTGCTGCCTCCTTCTATGTTAAATGGTAGTGCGTTCCTCCAGGGATTCACTTAAGGCCAGTAGAGCTTTTAGTGGGGTCAGAGGCTCGTCAGCAGGGGAAGTGATGTTAGTTGTGACCCAGATAGGCACTGTTAGCTGTGACCACGCAGAGTATCCCGTGAGTCGCTTCTCAATGAAAGGCGCCGGGTTAGTGTGTTGCGCATCTCGCCTGCCTGACGTGCTAATAAATGTCGAATGAATTTGGTGATCTTTTACAGCTGGGATGGTAATAATGATGACTTCAAAAGATGTATTAAGACTGTGGAGCCATCTTGGGTATTTGAAGTTTTACTTGAGGTTTTCAAGTTTAAGATACACTGTATTGTTAGGTTATTTCTACCACCCTGTGTCATTCTGCTGTGAGGTGTTTTATTAACTTGCATCAGGTGTGAGGTGTGATGAATGACATGGAAAACTAAAAGTTCAGTCCAAGAACGCTTCAAGTTCTGCACTTGGGCCACCACAACCTCCATCAGGGCTACAGGATTGAGGAGGAGTGGCTGGAAAGCTGCCAGTCAGAGAGGGACTGGGGGGGTTGATAATGAGCCAGCAGTGTGCCCAGGGGGCCAAGGAGGCCAATGGCATCCTGGCTTGTGTCAGCACTGGCGTGGCCACCAGGGACAGGGAAGGGATCTGAGCCCTGTGCTCGGACTGGTGAGGCCACCCCTCGGTGAGGGGGTTCAGTTTTGGGCCCCTCACCCCAAAAAGGCCATTGAATGACTCGAGCGTGGCCAGAGAAGGGCAACGGAGCTGGGGCAGGGTCTGGAGCAACAGGTCTGATGGGGAGCGGCTGGGGGAACTGGGGGGGTTCAGTCTGGAGAAGAGGAGGCTGAGGGGAGACCTCCTGGCCCTCTGCAACTCCCTGCCAGGAGGGGGCAGAGAGGGGGGATGAGTCTCTGGAGCCAAGGAGCCAGCGCCAGGCCCCGAGGGAATGGCCTCAAGCTGCCCAGGGCAGGGTCAGGCTGGCTCTGAGGAAGGATTTCTGTGCAGAAGGGGCTGTTGGGCGTTGGAATGGGCTGCCCAGGGCAGGGGGGGAGTCCCCGGGATCCCTGGAGGGGTTGAAGAGTCGGGCTGAGCCAGCGCTGAGGAATCTGGGGGAGTTGGGAACAGTCAGGGTGAGGGTCTTGGCTGGGCTGGAGGAGCTCCAAGGGCTTTTCCAACCCAGAGGATTCTCTGAACAGGCTGTTGGTGTTTCAGCTCAGAGTGACTCTGAAGGGTTGTGGTAGGTGCCTAGTGTACGGGGGACCAGTTGCCATTTCAGAAGGGGGTATCTGTAACATCGGGCTGCTGAGTTGGGAGCAACCCAGTTCCAGCCAGTAAAATGGGGAGTTGCAGAGATCTACCTCTCCAGACGCTTGGAGCAGCAGCGGGGGCATATCTTTGTGCTCTCTGTAACAGAGCCTGGTGTCCCCACAGAGGAAGCCATTACCCAGCTGTAACGGCACCCTCAAGGTGATGGCTTTTCCACTGTGCCATGGTGCAGCAAGTGACCATGTTTGGGTGCAAGAGGAAGGGTCCCGTGAGCAGTGGCTGAAACCCAGCAGCACAGGCTGATCACCTCTCAGTAAAAACTGGTAAACTGCAGCAAAGGAGAAAACCATCCTACTCCATCCTGGGTGGGCAGGGAAGTAACTTTGCTGCATGAAGAACCTACAGCACTTGTTTTCAGAGCCTGCATATAAATGTGCTTCTTTGTACTCGACTTAAATTTCATTTTTGTAGACAGTACAGTACAATGCACTTCAGGTCAAATCTGTATAAGAGCCCGAGGTCTGTTTACAGAATGTACATATGGAATTATTTTTCAAATATTGTTCTGTTGTTCATTAAAACATTGCAAATCTTAGTGGGAGGCAGGGGAGAGTATTATTAGTACTGCAGTAATAGCTCATTCTTCAGAGATCAAGTTTCACTTGCTCGATGCCAGCAAAGGAAGTTGTAGTGTTTTAGTGGAAAGAGAAGGGATGGGTGATAAAATCATTTGCAAGATACTCACATCTGAACCTCGGGGCAGCATAACAAATCCTTGCTTTTGGGGAGTTTTCTAATCCTCTTCAGAACAGGTAGCGTCTACCATTTGTTATTTAAACGAGTGTGTGTGTGTGGTTAAGGTGACTGGATGACAGCCCCATTTACTGAGAATGCTACTGTGTCCTACAGACATCTTCCAAAACACAGCATTAACCACTGGGAGCTGAACAAACCAGAGGAAGCAGACTGCTCTTGCATTTTATTTAATTTTTAATTAAGCTATTTTTACATTACTTTTGTTTTAATAGAGCACTTTTCTTGCAAAGGACATTTTAAAGAAAATCCCATTGTCAGCATTCTCCGTTAAAAAGGCCGGTTGTCTGCACAATGGTGCTTCCTTTCAGAGAGAATATTGGAGACTGTTTGTTTTTCTCTTTAAAACTGTTTTTTGGGGTTTTTTTTGTTTCTGGAGTCTATCAAAATAAATTCAGAACGGTGATAACGTTAATGAGAAGTGAGAATTACTCTTCCCCCTACACTGCCTGTTAGTGCAGAATTTCCCTATTCTATCAGTGTAAATGCAAATTTTTTGCTTGATTCCTTAGTAGGGGAGGAATGCTTCTTCACCTGTCACCTATGTATTTTTAACATCTTCCATTATAATTTTAGAGGATCAGAATGTATTTGGTGCTGAGTGGTCTAACTGGTGCTGAGGCCTCATGTTTACCTGCCACAGCATTTGCAGCGCAAGCCCAAAGGGGCTGGTGCAGAATTCATGCTTGCTCAGCCCTCCTTCTGCCTCCAGCTTTTCCATCAGAGCAGAGCAGCATCTTGTCATTCGTGGAGTTTGCTCTACCTGAGTGTAGCGATAAAACAGTAAAAAAATACTGCTCCTTTGCACCTTTACACTTGCTTTCATCAACCTCATTTTTAAGTAGTCTTTCTGAGGACTATGTGAAGTAAAGCGCATGGGAATATCAATTGCAGTCTGCTTGGCTTATATAATAGGAGGAAGAAAAAACACCCCAAACAAGGTGGTTTTACATTGCTCAGTATACTAAATCATTCATCCACACAGTGAACATATGTGCAGGTAGAAAAGTGCCGAGGCGAGGAAAAAATAAATTTTCAAGAAGGCCAGGTAGGCACTTAAGTATTTGAAAAAATCAGCAACTTTATTTAATGATCCATAAACCCTCAAAGCACTGAGAGCGCAACTGAAAAATAAAGAGATCCAAACCCATCCCGAGTGGACAAGATAAACAGGGTTTGGCACACGTAGGCCTTCGGAGCCTGCCTGCAGCCTGCCCTGTCCTTTTGTGGCTGCCGCTGTGCACCAAAACGGCGCTTATTTGTGCGTTGCTGCACGGCAGCAGCAGCGGCTGATGGAGCAGGCACTGGCCCACGGCATCGGTCTGGGGACGCAGCCTGGCCCTTCTCTCCCTCGGCACAAGACCACGGAGCGGGGAGTAGGGTGTTGCCATTTACTTACTGTTGTGCTGCGGCTTGTGTCGATGGAGCCCAGCATGGGTATCTTCTGGGAGTGCTGAGGGCAGCAACATAAAAGGCCACTGAATGACTCGAGCGTGGCCAGAGAAGGGCAACGGAGCTGGGGCAGGGTCTGGAGCACAGGTCTGCTGGGGAGCGGCTGAGGGAACTGGGGGGGTTCAGTCTGGAGAAGAGGAGGCTGAGGGGAGACCTCCTGGCCCTCTGCAACTCCCTGCCAGGAGGGGGCAGAGAGGGGGGATGAGTCTCTGGAGCCAAGGCCCCAGCGCCAGGCCCCGAGGGAATGGCCTCAAGCTGCCCAGGGCAGGGTCAGGCTGGCTCTGAGGAAGGATTTCTGTGCAGAAGGGGCTGTTGGGCGTTGGAATGGGCTGCCCAGGGCAGGGGGGGAGTCCCCGGGATCCCTGGAGGGGTTGAAGAGTCGGGCTGACCCAGCGCTGAGGGATCTGGGGGAGTTGGGAACGGTCACAGTGAGGTTCAGTGTTGGGCCGGAAGAGCTGCAAGGGCTTTCCCAACCCAGATGATTCTGTGATAATCCACATATTTCCTCTTGTAGGGATTGTATTTCTGCTGTCGTGGCTGGCTTGCATGCACAGTTTCACGAAGTAGTATTAAGTGTTGAGAAGCAGAGTGTAGCGAGGGCAACTGACCTCTCTACCCAGGACATAAAAGTCTCAGTTTTGTGCCCGTGAATGGCCACAAGCGTTTCGGGGGAGAGCTGCATGTGCAGTGCTTGGACGTAGGTGAACTGTGTTATGTGATCAGACAAACGGCATGCAGGAACATTAGAAACAGATGTACTACACATGGTATCAGAAACTTCATTTGGATCCTCCTCAACGTCTCCTGTTGGCTTTGGCAGAAGGGGTTGTATCTTGCATGGCAAGCCTCCTTTCATACAGAGAGTGTAGTGTATGGTTAGGCGGTTTGCAGAACAAAAGCTGAATTTGGTTTCAATCTGGCTGATACTAAACAGACTTTAAGAGGGCTTTTGTTTCAATGCCATGACATTAAACCCTAATGTGAACCTTCCCCTTGTCTTGGCAAGGCAGAGCACTGCGCTGTCATTTGCTTGTTGATATTTTCTGCCAAACAAAAATAAATTCTTTAAGGATCATGCTGCTGAATAATTAATTTTTTATGGTTCCTGAAGGGAATACTTTATAGCTGAGGTGGATCTTTCCATAGGCTGAGAGCGCCAGGATTACACTCGCTGAAAAAGCTGACAGTGGGAAGAAGGGCATGGCTCCTCCAGAGGCAGGTTGGCAGGGCACGCTGCTGGGGAT